TTTTAATACTTAAGTACAAAAAATATCAAATACTTTAAGACTTTTACTCAAGTAATATTCCTAAAAGAGACTTTAACTTTTACCAAAGTAATTTTTTGGTAAGATACTTGTACTTTTAATCAAGTATCACTTTGCGGTACTTTATGCAACACAGGTTTAAACACATTTGTGGTAATGTTGGTCCAAGCTGGTGTGTGAACCCTTTTTTTTTTCCTTTGCGTAAACATATGTGTTCTCCTGCGGTATTCGTGCCATGAATGGTGGGGAGTTCTGATCCTGCTTACAGCTCCGGTGACTGCACCACCTTGTACAGTCTGCTCTGATGTCAAAGAGGATTTAGCTCATAGACACACTGTCGTTTCTTTAGCAACCAAACAAACAAAAAAAAATTAAAATAAAGGAAGCCCCTATGATTACCTACACTTATTTTTGATAGAAACTTTAAGATAAGTTGGTGCTTCATGTATCAACAGGCTCTTTAACAAATCTCAGGAAAGTGATTTGAACAAACAGCGTAAATCTCAAATAGGCCCACTTGTGGCAGCATTTTTACAACATGAACCAAATATGTCTTGAAAAAACAAATTTAAACCCCGCAGCAAGCAGCGGCTTGTTGGCGCATCAGTCTCAGGTCTTATAGCCAAACACCGCTGGAAGCCAGAGAAGCCGGTTTGAAATTCAAACAGAAATCTTTTGAGTAATGCTGATGGCATAAAAAATAAAATACTTCATAAATAAATTTTTGTAGGGAGATGTGGGAAAAGAGCAACGAATAAATGTGAAATAGGTCTGCTTTAATGACTTTAAAGTGTGCAGGAGAAAACAAAGCCCCAAAACCTAAAAAAAAAAAAAAATAGAAAGAGGCGGTAATTTATTCTTACAAAAGATGTCATCTTGATCTGCAAAGGGGAACACCTGAACTATCACAACATCTCTAATTGGTTTTCATCCTCCACTGAAGCCCTTTATGACGCTCAAGCAAAGTAGCTGTCAGTACTTAGTTTGCTAAGCATTATATTTGGTTTAGAGTCACTATTAAGATGAATTGTGGTGACAAATGGCTGCCTAGAGTGCCTTAAGCAGCCTCCTGGCAATGCTGGCATTAGACACATTTACATAGCAAAGACCCCCCCACCCTTAAAGGAGCCCCCTAACCACTAACTGTCAATGAGCCAAAAGCCAAGTGTAGTTTGGGAAAAATACACTCCGCAAACACAGATAATGACACGGTTCCTCTTTGTGTACTTGGCTCAGAGCAAAGACATTTCATTTACCTCTCGATCCTTCTTTCTCCACACTGTACATCCTGTATGTGTGTTTGAGTCCGCGTGAGAGAGACAGCACACATGTGGTTACAAACTGGTGTGTGTGAACATTTTGTCCGTGTGTGTGTGTGTGTGTGTGTGTGGCTGCCCGTGAGTGATTGAGGTTTGTGCTGCACGGTGAATTAAATGCAGTTTTACTGTAATTAACTGCACTTAGCAGTCTCTGTGTGAGACTTTCTGACGCACCAGTAATTGAGGCATCATGTTTTGTTTGTTTTAACCTGCCTTTGAAGACATGCCGGGAAGACGTTACACATGGTTTAGTGGAAATACATCTGCACGTACAAATTTGGATGACTTAAAAAGAATCTCTTTATTCCGTCATTTACCTGCCAAATACTTGAAATATGGACACATTTCACAGCCAGGCTGGAGACGGCAATAATTAATTGAGGGGGGGGACTATTGTTATCCACACATAAAACATTACCATGRCATTATCATCAATTGTAAAGCAAATAAATAAATAAAACAAAACTAATTCCCATTGATGATAATAGCTGTTTTCATAAAGTCTTGTTTAGCTCCGCAGTCACTTTGGTATTTGTTTCTGGTATTTGTAATTTCATTAGGGGGTTGAATTTGGGAACCAAGGTCTGCCACAGTTCAGTGAAGCAAATCCAAAGAATTTGTGGTTCTGGTAAAACATAAAGCCGTGCTTGTAGACAATATTAGTCCTCGGCAGACATAAAGGTCCAGTGCAGTTCTGTCTCAGCATTAACACACAAAACCACAGTCTCCTTCCGTCTCAGGGACTGTGTGGTGATTAGTGTCAAGATAAAATAAAAGACAAGCAGCTTGTAGACAGATATGCAGTTGTGGGAGGTGGGCCCAGACTGTCCAAGAAGCCCAAGTGGTGTTGGTTTCATTTCTGAGTCGGTCATCTGTCCCAGACCCCCATCATCTCTTCAACTCCCTTCATTTTATTGTTTTTTCCCCCTCAACCACTAACCACCCACCCATCCATTTTAGAGCACCCCAAAAGTCTCACAATTCTTACCCCAAAACCTCAGTTTGTTTTGCTGCAGACATTGCTGAGCAAAGCTTGCAAGAGACACTGTTTTGTATTTAGGCTGAGCTTGGGGGCGCAGAGGAAGCTCGGCTTCTAAATGGAGTATCTACCCTACCTTGTGTACACAATACACAGGTATTTAGAATGTACCCCATCGGTGTAACGGTGTTTTCTTTGAAAGACATATAGCAGGATGAC